CTGCGGCTCTGGCACCGCCTGACCACGTGAATTCCCACATCACCTACCCAGCTATGCCTGCAAGGGCGTCCCCTCCGAGGGGAGCCAGGCAGGGTGGGGAAGCTGTGGGTAAGGAAGCTCCGGACCCCTCGGCACACAACCACCTGGGAGAGGAGGCTGGCAAGCACTGTATGTATTCCCGATTGTCCTGAAATAAATCAGCGAGGTTATTCATGATTCTACAACCCCAGCTCCCTCCAGAAAAACCCCCACACCAGAAACAGGTTTTCAGTTTTTATTATTTTATCCAAGTCAGCAAATACCGTTTTATTCGGACAGCTTGCCTTAGGGTAGCACCAGCCCCCCTGCTGCTGCACAGCCGCCCTTTCAGCAATGAATGATGTTTAAAGTCCTCCATTTAAGGGATTGCTTCCCCAGGGAAACACTATTCTGTAAAATCCCCTCCCTGGCATCCCCCTTGGGCTACTCCCCCACACCTTTAAGCTTTCACATCGGGGCTCCCACAGCACCTTTTCTGCAGGGTGCTCCTCTTCCTCCATACATCCACTGCTGCAGCTCTCCCCCTACCCCTTTTCCCAGGCCCCCAGGTGTTACAATCTATTGGATGTACCAGCTTATCCCCCCAAAAAACCCCCTTTCTTCCACCCTGTGACCCAGAAAAGCCAGCCCCAAGCCTGTGTAGTTTCTCCTTCCAGCTGCCCACCTTCCTGCAGAGCCAACCCAGCTCTGATGGTGTTGCTGAGCCAGGGCTTCCCTCGCTCTCCAAAGGCTCCCAGGCCCTTTCACTTGGGATTTGGGGGTCTTTGGTGGTTTGTTGTTTTTTTTTTCCTTCTATGAAAACTTTTTCCCTTGCCCCACAGACATCTCGCCTTAAATTTAAGTTTGGGCTTTCAAGGGACACAGCACTGACAACCCTGTACTGGTGCAGCCAGGGACACTGCCCAGGCTGGGGAGAGGGCAGTGCCTGGGCACGCCCCACTGCCCCTCCAGCAATGGGGAATGAAGGACAAAGCCCACCATACTCTTCCCGGCACAGCCTCAACGCTCTGAGCAGCTTTCGGGGATGCTGCCTTAGGGGAATTTGCTCCACCTCATCAAAACAGACTCTTCAGGGTGAAATCTCCTGCAGCCTGGTCCCAGCGCCTGGTACCGCGCCAGGTACCCACACGTGTACACCCACATTATTCGCAAAAGAGGCAAAAACCAGCGTGCGGTGTTAAGTTTAAGAGTTAAACACGAGTGGGCAGCAGCAGCCCACAGCGGGCACACGCAAGCGGCCAGCAGGGCAGGTTCTCGTCGGAGCGGGCCGTACCTGCCTCGCTGCCGCAGGACTGTCCCCTGGCAGCACGGACACACCAGTTGGGTGGGACAGCCAAACACGATGTCGCCTCTACCCAAAGGCAGGCTAGCTTTCAAGCCTGCCTAAGCAGTCGCAGGCAGCTGATCAGGAGGGGTGACTAGCTCAAAGGAGGGAGCCAGAATGGATTTTTGTATTTTGGCATCTACAATCAAGGTCCAAAAAATATTAAAATCAGAAGTAACACAGTTTCTTCCCCTTCCCAGCAAAGAGAAAAAGACTTCTCCAGACTCACCAAGGCCACTCAGACTTCAGGTTTTGTTGTTTGGTTGTGGGATTTTTTTTTCCCCCCTAAAGGACTCAGCAATACACAGGAACAGAGAGCCACTAGAAACAAGTTTACCTCACCATAACTGCCACCAGAGCCCTTGCGGCTGCTCGCCCAGCTCCAAGAGACAGCGCAGTCTCTCTGGGGAGGCAGCCTCTTCCCGCACCATTTGTCTGCCCTTTGAAACAACCCACTCTGCCGACACAAAAATCCCTCCACAGAACTATTCCCAAACACTAAGAGCCTGGAAACCAAAGGCAGGCAGTGGTTGAGGACCAAAGCTTTGCACCGCAGCTACATCTGGGATGTGATTTGTTTCACCCATCTCCCACGTGGGACAGATCCATCCCTCGGTTCTTGTTCCGCTTGCCTCGGCACTGCTGCCTGTCAGGGGGACAGGAGACCGAACAGTCTCGAGCTCTTCCTTCTTTCTCATGTCCTTCCAGGGGAACATCTGCCTTGCAACCCCTGTCAGCATCGGGATCTTGGCACTGAAACCCGACTCAAAGTCTCTGCCATAAAGCATTTACCACACAAAAGAGATCTTTGGGACTGAGTAACGTGTTCACAAACAACCCCTGAGCAGGGCAAAAATCTGAACCGAACCAGGGTGGGCTGGCTGGAGGGAGAGGTTGTGAAGCAGGGATTTGGGGCGGCGGTAGGGCAGAAATCTGCTAGAGATTAGGGCTGCAAGAGTTTCGCTGCAGCACAACGAGACAATCATGATGAACTCGACTCACTTTACCCATCCATAACAAACCTGCCTTCCTTGCCAGATACATTTTCTGGGTCAGCTCCTGAGCAATCCACGTGGCACAGAAGAGGCCAGGGCAAGTGTCAGAGGCCTTGGGGAGGACAGGATGTGGAAAAGGATAATTGATCGCTGCGGGTAACTGTCAGCTTTCTAACATCACACAGCCCTGACAAGGGCTGCAGGAAGCTTAAGGCAGATAAACCTTTTGGGCTCGGTGCTTCTCCTCTTAGCCTAACCTTTTGGTATGAACAACAACGATCCTGGGAACCCTGACAACAGTCAGGCCCAAGGAGCTGCTGGGTTGTTGCCTTCTGCTGTCCCTTGTTCTCCCAGGCATGTTCTCCGATGGCCGAGACCTTCTTCCACGCATCCACCAGCTGCTGCGGCACTCTCAGCAGAGCTGCGGTGCTGCCAGCACGGCCCTCGCGCTCATTCTCCCAGGCACACTCAGCTTCCGGGTGGAACAGTCACCCGACGTCAGAATTCCTGCGGCCACCAGGGAAAAAAAAAAAAATAAAAATAAGAGGACAGTCACCCTTTCAGCGGGGCAGGAGGGACTAAGGATTTTCCAAAGGGAAAACCAAGCAGAGGGGACATAAGGACTAGTTAGAGCACAGCCTCAGTGTGCAGGCTACGAGCAAGCACCGGCACAAGCAGCAGCTGGCTGCTCCTGGCTGCAAGGAATGATGCCCCCCCTCGATGCCACAGCTCCCTCTGGCTGCCCTCAGTCCCCACTCACCCTCCTGCTTTGTTACGGCTCTAGCCAGCTCTGCCCGCTCTGCCCCGGGGCTTGGAGCCTTTGGAGGTTTTGAGTCACAGTCTGCAGAGCTTTTCCTGAGGACAAAACAAAAGGAAAAAAAAAAAAAAAAAATCAGTGTTAGCAACAGGCCAGCAAGCAGTGAAGACCAGGCTGCAGCCTGCATTCAGCCACTGTTTTCCTGCCTCCATGCTGCCTTCTCCCCTGCAGCTTGCAGCACCCTGAAAACAGGAGTGTCTCTGCTCTCTGCCTGCCTGTTGCTGGGATGAGTTCCTGTCATCAGGAGAACAGGACACAGGCTTTGGGAACCACTTCACAAGCATCTCTGACCGCTGAGCAGAGGGGCACGTTACCCCTTCCCTCAGCCTGGCCCTGTCAGCAGAGGATGAGGCAGAGTCCAAAATCTGCAGTGAGATTAAGTGCAAGAAAATGCCAGCACCAGCTTCAGAGCCTGGAGACTTCCCTGAACGAGGGGAATGCTTGTTAGGTCCCTCCAACCACCAAATCACCAGAAACCTGCCCAGCCACGCCTCCCCTCCAGCACACCAGTCACCTCACATGGCCAGAGTCCCCCCCACCTTACCCATTTCTCCCACACACTCCTCTAGGACAGCTGACAGCTCAGGCAAGCTCAGAGACTTCAAGGACGGCGGCCATCCTTCCAGCACTGCAAGAAAGAGGAACCACACGTTCAATCAATCTGTGACCGAGCAAAGACAAGGGTTTGGTGTTGCTGTGAAGCATCCCCACCCAAAGCAGCTCCAGTTAGGGGTAGGGGTTCCGCGTCCCATGGGAAGAGAGCTGGAACTGCCTGTGATAAACTGAGGTTTATTTCTGGCAATTCTACCACTTCGGAATATTTTTTTTTTTTATATGGCTGGGTCCTGTATTAAGAGACTCTCAAAGAGACTGAGTGTAGTGGACAGAAATCAACAGGATCTCTACTTGTCTCACTTTCAAAACACAGGCAGTGAAGAGCACATCTCTGGAAGCACATCACGGGCAGCAGGATCATTTGCTAACTCCTTGTGATAAGGAGCTGGCGAGCCAAGCCTGCCCAGCCAGGTACAGCAGTTTGCCCCACGGACCAAACAGCACAATCCCCCAGTTAGGCTGGGTTAGGAACCAGCTGTGGCTTCCGATTCAGACCCTGCTCTAGGGTGCAGAGCAGTAACATGCCCGAGATG